CAGTATACAAATCATCTTTTAAAATATGATTGGTTATGTCCTGTAGATTTGCAATAAAGTTTTAATTTTTATTTACTTGGGCCAAATGGGGTGGAAAAACGACGCTTTGGTACGAAATTCTGGTTCCCAGAATTCCTCTTTAAATTAATTATATATGGAAAGTGATTCCTAATGTCTTGTAGATGTGCAATAAGGTTTCAGAATTTTCCTTTTTCACCCTCTGGGCCAATTAGGGGTCTAAAATACTTATCTATAATAAAAATTATATTGCTCCCAGAACTTCTCTTAGATTTTATTAAAATTTATTTAAATTTTACGCAGTTATAACAGTAGCAAATTCATCTTTTGATATAGTTAGTTATGTCCTTGTAGCTATGCCTTGTCATTAGCCATCTGCAAAATCATTTATTATATTATTGTACACACAAGTACTCCGAGGCTATTATAGAAAAGATGTTAGAGTTTCTGATTGACAATATCTCTGCAGTTTTTTGTAGATCGAGTCTTCCAATGATCTATTGAAATTACCATGGGTGTTACAATGTAACTGCGCCTTGTAATTAGCAGACTTATGTATTCACAAGAAGCAGAATTTATTCAAAAACTTCTACACAAAAAGACTCTAGATATGTTCTTCAATTCGAAATTTAGATATATTGACGACGTTTTGTGAATTAACAATATTCATTTTAATTCCTAATTTGAATCGATTTATCCCATTGAACTCAAAATAAGACATCAAAGAGTCTGACAAATCTCCATAACAAAAAATACTATACTTAACTATAGTATCAAAGAAAAAAAATGGAACTTTGATTTACTATAGTAAAAACTTTGGAACTTTGATTTACTATAGTGAAAACTTTGGAACTTTGATTTACTATAGTAAAAACTTTGATTTACTAGAGTAAAAACTTTGCAACTTTGATTTACTATAGTAAAAAACTTTGGAACTTTGATTTACTATAGTGAAAACTTTGGAATTTGGTTTACTTCAGTTTACTTATATGATAGTGAAATCTTCGGAACTTTGGTTTATTTTAATAAAAACTTTGGAATTTTGATTAACTATAGTTAACTATAGTATTTTTTTTTTTTTTTTTTTTTATTTTTATTTTTATTTTTTTTTTTTTTTTGTTAGGACTCTTTCATATTTGGATATTTTACTAGAAAAATACATTAATGGATACCTAACAATAAAACTTTATAATAATCGTGATAACTTCAACTTTTCTATCGTCAACTTCTCTAATTTACCATATATACCATCATTCCCTGCATATGTAGTTTACGCAGGTTGAATATACACCATTCAGTTAACTGAATGATGACTGAAAGGTCTAGAAAAGTCACTGAATTTCAGAACTCTGCCATTCAATCACCTTTCAGTGGACTTTCAGTCACCTTTCAGTAAACTGAATGGTGTAGATTCATCCTGTGTTACGTCTACAATTGATTCGGTACGATAGTGCATAATTCTAAAACGCGGAAAGCTATTGAAAAGTAAGTTGTTTATGCAAGGTTGTTAACATTCTTGTTTAGAGTCACCATTACGCAAATTCTATGGTCGATAAACAATGACCTTTTTTGCAAATAAAATCTATCGTTAAGTCGTTTTTCATGCAAATTGATAGGTCATTATTTTCATTCTGGATAGTTTACAAATTTTTCCGTTTGCCCGATCATGAAAAGGAAAACACGGCGGATTTGACGGGTCAAAATGGGATGCTAAATCCTCCACGACGTCTGACCCCACCTCTGATGTTTTAAGAGGTACTTGTTTGCTCTGCTCCCAGTTTGTATTGTTCCAATATTTTTTTAGCTTGATTATTGTCCTTATCTTCACATTCCATGTCTTATGACAGCATCCGGACGGATTTGAATTTAAAATTTATAACATAGCATGAGAAAATACTTTTCTATAGATATAAATCTATTATCCCTCTGACTCTTACTCTATCGTTTTCGAGGGAAATGCAGAGCAAACGTCACAACCTCAAATCTCCTTGTACCAGCTATATTACATGTCTTTGTCTTACCCATTCCACTAAAATTTGTCCTACTTTACCTAGTCTCCTCGATGCTATTTAAGTTAAGCTACGGAAAAATTATTTTACTTGTTAATCAACTACGGTACCTGTTTTTTATTTAATTTTATATCCACTCACATCAACACGAATGAAATCAGTGGAGGCAAGCCGGTAGATGTTTAATTTATCTAATTGGATATTTTGCAATACAAGAGACTCATCTCCATTTTCTATTTTTTTTTTTTTTTTTACTTCATTTGCCCCCTCTCCCAAAATGTTAGATTTTAGTGTTGTTCATGAATTTCTCTTTAGTTGGAAACGCAAAAAACTAATTTTTTTTATAGATATTTTTTAAAAACTTTCTGCACGTGAATAATTAGGTGATTGGTGCCTAAATCAACAAGAGTCAATGGGACACATTGCTCACCTGAGCACATTGGCTAGGAAGAAGGAGATACCTTAATACAATATACAATACCTTAGGTTGCTTCTGTATAAATATGACTAATAATGGCTTACTTGTTTTGAGAAGATTTTAAAGATATTTCCTGTGTAACGTGTATGATCAGGTTCTTACAAGGGACATATAGGTTTTCCTTTGTCTGAGTAAATGATTGGAATGATTATTAAGACAGCTCTGTTTGAGGGTACATCACACAGTACTCAATTTTCTTTTATCTAGAGACGGGGACTAGGGAAGGTACTACTTGCACCGTGTTTCTCCCTTAGGTTCCCATTAATAGATAAGAACTGGGTGTCTCAATCTTCTTCAGATTTACTACACCCAAAACTTAATACCAATTCCTTAGGACACTTGCCACTGTTGTTTATACCGGGGTAACTTTTATGCTTTTATTTTGCTCTTACCCGTAACTTTTTTTTTATTGCTGATTCAACGTCCAACTTCTTCAGCTAGCTTCTGAATGCCAGACTTTCCCAAAGCTTTGTCTTCTATATCCTTTGCTTTGGCTAGTCCATTCCAAGGGTTGTCAGGTCAATCCACTAGTCTTCAATGCGTTTTACTCAAAGCCCCTTAACCATTACACCTATATATATTTCTATGTAAAAATTTGACCCACTGTTTTGGCCCCGACCTACCCTCGGGGGTTATGATATGAACAAACTTGAATCTAGAGAATGTAATGAAGCTTTCGCATAAGTTTCATCTTTTCTTACCCAGTGGTTCTTGAGAAGAAGATTTTTAAAAGATGTCACCAAATCTTCACGAATTTTTAATTATCTCCCCTTCAAAGAGAGCGTGGCACATCCTGTGAATAAACTAAAAATTCCCTATACACAAGGATGTTTTGTGGCAATTTTGGTTGAAATTGGACCAGTGGTTCTCAGACGGACGCCGGAAACTCTTTGATCAGAAGACGCCTTCGGCTCAGGTGAACTAACAAGAGCCAGCAACAGTCATTGTACATATACGTGTATCTCGGATAAGTAAACAGGCTGTTGATCGAAGCATAATTCACAATGCAATTCGTTAGGGTAGAAAAAATGAATACAAACTTATACGATGACTGCGCCTTGTAAAAATCAATGAAATTCAGTGTTTAGAATAAAATAAAGAAACGTTTATTTATTTTTTTTAAACAATATATCATTGTAAAAAAAAAGTTAGAAATTTAATGTAAAGAAAACTTGAAGGTCCATGCACTAAACATTTTGATTTTGCCCTATTAAAGTTCTGTAAATGTATAAATCGTTTCAATGAAATTACTTTTTATGAAACATTCATATGTGGACTCTTTTTAAATTACTAAGTATACATATATGATAGTATATGCGGATTCATTTTGTTGAAGCTCTAATTTTTTTTATCTTCTTGTAGATATAAGCTAAGAAACATCGATAGCATAATATTTAAAGCTATAGATAGATTGCAAAAGGTTTTCATTTTAATTGCAGAGTATTTTGAAACAACAGATACATGTAGAAAGAAAAAAAAATTGCATTGAAAGATTAATGTCATTATTTGAAAAAAAATATTCTTCATCAAAAAGAGTTTCCAAAAATTTTAATAACTCTTCTTTTTACAATAAACGGAAGTACAGTGCAGAAATTTCAAAATATATTATATTCTTTTGATTATTTTTTTCATTCGTATCTTATTATTCATTGCTGTTATTGATGCTAATTTTTTAATGTTATTTTTCAGAAGCAAAGTACACTTGATTTTTGCAGGTCCTAAAATAATTTTCACGTATATTATCTATTCTTTTTCCCCCCACAAATTAATCATGTCTTACAAATCTCCACTTTGTTGGCAATTATCAGACAGTGTATCATACCATACATGAACATGCATCAATGATTTATTTTTGATAAAATCTTTTAAACTCTTAAAATATTTATAGTTACCTATTACATCTATATAAAGCCAGTACTCTTTTAGTAATTTTATATAAAAGTCTTCTTTTTTTTTTCTTCTGCAGCTTTTTTACCCTTTCAAATGCAGAATCTGAAAACAAAAGTTGTAAGGAAAATGGCAAAAAAAAAATTGTTTAAAATACTAGAGCGACATTTAATTAACTATTGAGCTATAAAAAGAAAATTCATTTAGTGTTGTACAAAAGTAGAGGAAGACTTCGAAGTACCAACTGTAAAAATATTTCTTTCCAAATTATTACACATGGAATATAAATTTCTTATCATTAAAAGAATACACGATTTAAACACAATCAAACAAAATAAATCGTTATCTTCAAATTTATCGTGTCGTCAGATTTAAACACATTAAACGAAAAATCAGTCGGTATCTGTAAGCTTATCGTGTTCTCCTCTCTGGGTATAGAGATAATCATATCTGTAGATTATCAACCAAGGAAGGATTGAGTCTTTAAAACAGGTGGCTGTTTAGCGTCCCATAATGCGCGTTCCTCTATTGGGAATGTTTATAAGCCGCTAGCAGACGACCCTCCGTGTCCCACAATATATATATTGAAGTCTGCAAAGCTGAAAGATGCATTCATGCAGTTGATGAGGATGTGAAAATAATAACCCTAATGGTGGTACTGACATTTTAGTCAAAGATTGACATTTATTATAGAAGGAATTGGGGAAAAAATCTGAAGCGAGATCATTTGACATTGGTTTTTTCGTTGCAGCGTAAACACCTTTTATTTGGACAGTGAACTTGTTCATTTCAACAAAATGTCAACCGGGATATTTATTCTGTGTTTAATTTTCACCGCGTTCTGTTTGTGCTTAGGCCAGGTATGTATCGTGAATCTTAACTTCATTGTTAATCTACACTTATTTTATAATGATTGGTGGCAAACCAAGACGGTCTTAAAATCCTTCAAATGTGTACAGATTTTTTTTTTTCCAACCTTGGCGTGAGAGAGCAAAATAAAAACCTTTTCATAGAAGGGTCATACAAGTAATTTCTAGAGGTGTGTCACAAACTAGGGTATATTACTAAGATAAATTGTGACAAAGATAAGCCAGCAGAGGTTTTAAGTTTCTGACTTCTGTTGTGTCATATATGTAATTCTAGAACTTAGGCATGTTCGTAAACTTTCTCTTCCCGATTAAGTACAGTATATGACCTTGAATGAGTCAAAATATCTGTTTTCACTACATACATGTATGTGTTCACTACATATGTTTTGGCAATTTTTAGGTTAATTTCCTTTTTTTTTTTTTTTTTTTTCGTAATTTGATTAAACTTGTCCAATTTTTTTTCCAAGAGGCAAAGCAAAATGTGATTCAAAATTGATCGCTGTGAATAAGCATATCAAAATTTCTTACTCTAAAAAACCTACAATTTTTTAAATAATTCTTTGCTGTAAAATTTATAGGTTTTGATATTGATAAAACCAAGACAGTTAAAGATTGAATTACTTTGAAATTATGAGAAAATCTGAATGCAAATCATGTGAAATGAGCATATCGTATTCCCCTTATAGAATATCAAGTATGAGAAGAAAATTTAAGTTATGTACTTCGATAACCGATGTTATTTAAGTACGCAACTCACAAGAATATTCATGCATTCATTTTAAAGTCCAACCATTACAGGTCCAGGGTTCATTTAATACCATCGGTTTTTCTTTTCAAACATGACATTAAATCCATTTTAAAGATTTTCCCCCTCAAACTATGAAATTTTTACCATGCGGAAATAAGAAATTTTACATTATCTTAATAATATTTTTGATTAAATTCTCAAATTACCTTTAATCTCAACTTTCGTGGAACATAGTTAAAAGATGATTTCTTGATAGTAAAACATATATAAAAGAAATTATGTTTAGTGAAAGATGTAAGCACAACTATATACACAATAGAGAAATCAAATGTATCGATCAGATGAAATATTTTGTTACCTTTTTCTACTACATTCAAAGTGGAGTATTTTCAAATTACTGAGTATACATGCGAATTTATATCGTCGAGGCCTTAACGTTTCCAATGAAATCTACTGTTGCATATTGAGAATCCTGATGATACATGGCAAAATATCCTCATAAATTCGTGGTCATAGAACTCCTATGAAGAGCGATTAAAAGAAAACGATATCCTATAAACAATAGAACAATTGGTTTATATCACCTTCCGTTCATCCCTTAGAGACAATCTGTATCCATATTCCTGAAATACATATATACTCATTTGTCATTTTATCTTCCTGTCTTTATGTACTAAATAGAATTATAAAAATGTGATTAGAATAAAGCATTGCAATGGTTGAAGAGGAAAGTCATAGCCAACATATCTTGAATTACGAAATAATGATTGGAGATCTGGATGTTTGCTGTTAAATGTTCTTGGTTTTTATTTGCCTCACATCCAAAACGTTTTTGCAATTTTTGACAATTTTTTGACAAGATTTTCAACGACGTTGTGAACTTTTTACTACTCTGCATCATTCAGATATGATGAGATATCATTTTTATTTGGCAACATTCTAAACCGTATAAATTTATCAATGTCGTCTTGTTTTTCTGTAATTACATAATGTTATTTCTAAATTATATATGTATAATCGTCCCAGTTTACCTATATATAGTATGAACAAAGCGTGCCAAAACAAAACCCAACTCTGGACAAAAAGAGAATTTCCGCTGTTATTTTTTTATCAAGAAGTAAGTGTGTGATTTAAGATATTTTAATTATGCAGTACTTCTTGCAGAAAGGGCGTCGCATCAAGTTCTTTCATATTCTCAATGGTGATTGAATCATGATCATTGCATAAAATCCTGTTATATAGTAACAATTTGGTAGTTCTTGTTTTTCCTTTCCTTTTGCTGTGTTAAATTTGAAAATTAAGAAAGGTGACCGTTAATGATAAACACAATATGTAAATTAAAAGAAGAGGCCCAAGGGCCCTACCGATGACCTGAGAATATTGTAGATGTACTATATTTAGCGCGTATGATATTTGGCAGAAATTGATTTTTGAATATGTTAGCGTAGATTTGATTTAGCGCATTTCTATGTGTATATGTGCAAGACATTTAGCGTTGTACTTGATTTAGCGGTTGTTGCGTTCCGCCAAAGCCGCTAAAAAGAATACACAGCCAAATGTAATACATTTACAATAATTATACAACAATGTAAAGGATCAAGTGAAGAATGAAATAATATAAAATAAACTGAGAGATGAGGATATTTTGCCCCTAAACAAACGAAATAGGATAATCAGGGATCAACAACAAATTGTCTAGTACTCAGTAATAAATCATAAAGTAGATCTATTTATACCCTTCCATTTATCACTAACAAAATACAATATACAATAGTGCTTGAGATCATGGAGTAAACTTTCACATTACATCATACACAGGCCTCTATTGGTCTTTGAAGAATATATAATGTACAAAGATAAGGTATTTTTGCCTCATTTTTATTTATCTATTATTTACAAGTCTACATCACCATTAAAAACCATCAAAGTACTATTTTGTTACACATTAAAAATTCTTGTTTATTTCTTCTTTTAGTCTTTAGTGCTTAAGTCTTCTTTTATTCAATTTTACCAATCAATTACATTATCAACAGTAATTAATTATAGGTGAATAGCAAAGGTTAATAATGATTTTCTTAGTAGAGTACAAATTTCCTTACATTATCAATAGAGCCATTGGCCCAAATTTTACAAAATTTGAAGGAAAAAATACCCTTGCTCATTACAATTTCATACTCTGTTTGACTCCTAGATGTTCAGGAGAAGAGAAGAAAAATTTTCAAAGAATTCATGCATTTTCACTATATAATCAACAGATTTTTCCTCAATACCAAAACCCCTGACCCAAGTGCTATCAATTCCGAAATTTTGAAAGAGGCATCCTTGTTCATTGTAACCATGCACTGCGTTTGCTAAATTCCCATGGGTATGCTTATCATAACCATGCATTTAGTTTATATGCTAAATATCCAGGAACAGAGAGAAGATTTTCAAAGAAATGGAGCATTTCCACTTTATAATCAATGAAGCCCCACCTTAACACCCCACATCGAGTTTTTTTTTATTATTATTATTATGCATTTTTACTACATGTAAATGATCAACAGAACTCCACCCTAACACCAGAACCCCTGGCTGAGGGGACATGACTCTGCACTTAGTCTATTTGCTTATTATCCTGTAGCAGAGAAGCAATTTTGAAAGAATAAGTGCATTTTCACTACATAATCATTAGAGCCCCAGTCTAACACCAGAAACCCTGACCCAGGGGCCATGAATTTCAAAATTTTGGTAGAGGGCACTATGCTTAGTACAATAATGCCAACAGTTTAATTGCTTGATGTCCAGGATTAAAGAAGATTTTTAAAGATTGCATTTATTTTGATGTTTTTAAGTCCAACCTCTCAGGCTTGGGGGGGGGGGGGGGGGGGGCAGGAGCCATGAAATTCACAAATTTTGTTTCCCTTGACCAGTAATTGCTATATGCTATAATTGAATGAAATTGGTTCAGCGGTTTCAGAGAAGCTGAAAATATTCAAATGCTAACACATGACGAACAACAACGGACAAAAACATATAGCAAGTGGTCACTGGGTGACTCAGGTGATCTAAAAATCCTTACGATTTTACAAAATTTTGTTTAAAATACCGGGTACCTTTATTTTGCTCTTAGACGTATTTTTGAAAATTCGCACCTCAATTATCAAAAATATGCGTAAAACGCAAAGGGGGTCATTAATCAAATCATAAGTTGTAATATTTCTTTCCTCTGCTAACAAAGATTGTAAAGTTATGACATCTTACAAATATCACAAAGTTAATAGTTGAAAACGGTTTTGATTCCGAAGAAAATTAAGAATTCCCTTTTGTATACATACGTAAATATATGTACATATGGTAACAATTACTGCTACGTTTATATTTATTGAATATCTTAAATTTTATAGAGGATTTTTGTAGTGATGCACCAGAAGCATGATCAAAATCGGTAATTAATCAACTATATATAGTTCTAAGATTTGCATGCTACAAATGCAACTACGTAATTTTCTTTATCTTTATCATTTTAAGTAAAGTTCATATGAATAAACAATCCTTTTGTTTTCTTTAATTGATCATCTACTTTTGTAGAATGCTAAGTACTTTCCATGTACCGGTAATCACGGAAATTGCGAAATGACCAAGGCTTTGCTATGATTACGAAAGGAAAGAACTCCTTGAACTTTATTTCGAAATCTGCTCCAGAGGCTCTTTTGCATTTTATTTTATTGTTATTATTATTATTTTTTTTTTTTGTTGTTTGACTTCACCTCATTCCCATAGCAGGCCGGTAGCAGAAATGATCATCGTATAACACGTCAACTTTTCACTTTTATTTGCTTTAGTTTTCTCTACTTAAAAAATGTTATGTTTGACAACGTTTGGTGTCAATTTATTAAATGTCACTATAAAAAAAAAACTAGAGTTCCTTTATGTTGATTATGTTTCAGGAGTGTTTAATTTTCATGAAAAGTATTTAAGAATGCATAGTTCTTAGACTCATTTCGATGTAATGGTAACTTAAGGACAACATTTTCTCTACACTTTATCCCAAGCATTCAATTACAATAATGTTCGATTCACAAAGCCACGATTTTTGAATTTCTTTTGAGAAGCAAATTTAAAAGATATTTTATAGATGGAACCACTCCTTGCTTAAATTTGCAAAAGCCTTTGGGAAACGCGCATTTTTGTGTGCATTTTCTATGTCATCTTTGTCACCAAGAAAAAGAACAAATGCATTTTCTTCTTTTTTTCGCGTCTC